GTCCTTCTGAGCATGGGTGGAGGCTGGGCCTGAGCTGGCCCTACAGTGGACTGCAGTTTACTGAGGCTCTACCCTGCAGGAGCATCACCCTGCACCACCGAATCCGACAGGCTTCCAACCCATTTGCACCAGAGATCAGGGCATTTGACGCCCGGCTGCAGAGAGAGGAAGTCTTCTCTAGGGAGGACCTTGCCTCGTAAGTGGTGGGCTGGGAGGTAAGCCTCCTGCTGGGGCGTCAGGATGACAGGCTGTGGCCCACACAGGTACAGGAGCATCCTGGGGAAGGCGCGGAAGTTTGAGCTAGACCAGCACTCCATCATTCTGTGCACATGCTCCTGTGCAGCCTCAGCCAGCCTCCAAAAGCTGGACATCCGGCAGATCCTCGTGGACGAAGCGGGCATGGCCACTGAGCCGGAGACCCTCATCCCCTTGGTGCGCTTCTCCAAAGCTGAGAAGGTGAGGGACAGTCAGTGGAGAGCCTGTGCCCTGGGCTGGAGGCCGAGGTGTGAAGGACAGCACTGAGCAGGATCTGGAATGGCCCACAGGCTGGGGTACCTCTGGGCCAGGTCAGGACCATGCCCCTTGTGCCTCCAGGTGGTCCTGCTCGGGGACCACAAGCAGCTACGGCCTGTGGTCAAGGACAAGCAACTGCAAAACCTGGGGATGGATCGGTCTCTCTTTGAGCGGTACCACAGGGACGCCTTCCTCCTGGACACACAGTACCGCATGCACCAGGCCATCTGCACCTTCCCCTCCATGGAGTTCTATGGGAGGAAACTGAGGGCCTGGCAGGGCCTGAGGCGACCAGCCAGCATTCTGGGCTATGCTGGCAAGGAGAGCTGCTCTATCATTTTTGGCTATGTGCAGGGCCAGGAGCAGAGCCTGCTGGTGTCCACAGATGAAGGAAATGAGAACTCCAAGGCCAACCTGGAAGAGGTGGCAGAGGTGGTAAGCATGAGAGAGACCCTCCCTGGTGCCCCCATGGGTCAGGACTGGGGTGTCTTCCTGGAGGAGGAAGAGGAGGAGGAGGAGGAGGAGGAGGAGGAGGAGGAAGAGGAATGAGGGAAGACTTCCTGGAGGAGGAGTTGGGGTTAAGAAGGGCTCACTGGATGAGGGGAAGGAGGAGGAAGTGTCAGAGAGGCCTTCTAGGAGGAAGAGGGGCCAAGGGAACTTGAGGGAAGCTCATGTGCCCTGGGCCCAGATGGCACCATGGTCCAGCTCCACCTGCCACTTTGTCCGCTCAGGTTCGGATCACCAAGCAGCTGACCCTGGACCGGACAGTAGACCCCCAGGATATTGCTATCCTCACACCTTACAATGCACAGGCTGTAGCCATCAGCAAGGGCCTTGAGAGGGAGGGTGTCACTGGAGTAACTGTGTCCTCCATCACCAAGAGCCAGGGTGAGGTTGGATTTGGGGGAACCCACACCTGGGGGTCAGAATGCAATGGGTGTGGGGAGCACCTGCAAGCTCACCTCTCACCCCAGGGAGTGAGTGGCGCTATGTGCTGGTGAGCACCGTCCGCACGTGCCCCAGGAGTGATGTGGACCAGCGACCGACCAAGAGCTGGCTCAAAAAGTTCCTGGGCTTCGTGGTGGACCCCAACCAAGTTAACGTGGCCATCACCCGGGCCCAGGAGGGGCTCTGCCTGATTGGTGAGGGTGTGGGGGCCCAGGAGAGGACTGGGGCTGCTCCCTGTGGGCACTCAGATGGGCTGCAGCTCCTTTCCTCTCCCCTCAGGAGACCACATCCTGCTGTCCTGCTGCCCTCTCTGGCGCCGTCTCCTGGACTTCTGTGCAGCCCAGCAGAGCCTCGTGCCTGCTAGCCAGGTGCAGGTCCGAAGGAGGCCAGCAATGTCTTCCTAAAGAGTCCCTCTCTGCCTAGCTCAGGATATGCTGGTGGAGAGCGTGGCCCTCGCCCTACAGTGGACTGGGGCCCAGGGCAGGTGGCCGTGTCAACTTGCCACCGTGGCTGCTGGGAAGGCCCAGGTGGCTGGCAGCAGCTGGTGTTGACCTCTTCCTGGGGGTGATCTTCCTGTTTGTGCCTGAACTTGGAAGGAGAAGAGGGACTGGAGTGAGCCCCTCTCTCTCTCTGCTGTGCTGCTCTCCCGGGATGGGACTTTGGGTGATAGGACAGCCTCTCGGCAGCCGACCACTGAGGCCATATTGGCAGGAGACACCCCTGTCACCAGGAGGCCTCAGGTAGGAAGGAGACCTCTTTGAGGCTGCATTTTGACCTTCAGACCCTCTGGGATCACCCTGGCATGGCATTTGCCTTCTTTTCTAGTTTTAAATACACCAAAGCCAGCGTCTTCTACTGGGACCACAGGCAGGGCCAGGACCTCCCTTGGAGAGGGGCCATTTCTCTGCCCTCACTGCCACTGTCCTGTAGAGACATCTATACAACACTCCTGCGGGTGGGTGGGCCAAGGGCCAAGAGCAAGGTGCCCCAGACACTCTGGGCTGCCTCCACCCCAGCCACACTTGTCCAGGCCCAGAGCCCTCAGGACAACCTGCCTGGGAGCCCCTTTCTCTGCAGGGTTGAGTGGGTGCAGTCTCCCTGCTTGAGCTTGCCCCCCCACCCACCCACCCACCTGGAAGCAGCTCTCCTTTGTTCACCCCTTCTCCTGAGTCTTGAGGTGCCTCCAGCAAGTCAGCGGTCCAAGGAGGTCCAAGAGACCTCCCCTGGCCTCTGCAGAGCCTTCTGTGGGAGGAGTGCCTGTCTACTGATGTTTTTTACATACCAAGTTTCTATATTGCAATTTTCAACCTTTTCTCAGATTCCACCTCATGATTAAATTTTTTAAATATATTTTTTGTTGTTGATGGAACTTTATTTTATTCATTTATATGTGGTGCTGAGAATTGAACCCAGGGCCTCACACGTGCCAGGCAAGTGCTTTGCCACTGAGCCCAGCCCCAGCCCCTCATGATTAAATATTAATGGTGTTATAAAGACCCCTCTGAAAGCTGCTCTCACTTCTGGGTGCTTTGAGGTGGGGCAGGGGCAAAAAGTGTTGTCCTTCATCTTCCTTAGGAGGTGGCTGTGGAGGTCACCAGGGGTTCTCAGTGGACAGATGCTGGACCTGGGAGCAAGTGGAGAGGATGGCAGCACCCAGCTTTATGACCAAGGGCACCAGCTGTACTGCCTGAGGTCATCTGTGCAGGGACAGTGGAGGAGGGGGACCAAGTTGGCAAGGATGGGGAGCCTTGTCCAGAGCTGCATGGCCAGCCTCATGCTCGGTCCCCAGACTGGGCTGACCCCAAGTAGCCCATGAGGCCAGGGGCCAGGTCCCTGCAGCTGTGGTCTGCATAGCACCCTGCCTTGTCTGAAGTTGCTCCTCAGGCCATGGGCACCCCCAAGCAGACCTGGGCTGTGACAGCATCCTGCTTGTTTGTGGCTGGCTCTCCCTGGCCTCCCCTGCACTCTCTGTACTGCTCTCCCTTGCCAGCAGAGATCAGATGGGTGGGATGGCAGAGAGAAGCTGGAGGGAAAATAGGTCCCCTGGAGGGAGGTGCCGTGGGAGGTGCTGCATAGAGAACACTTCTAGGGCAGCTGTAAAAGAATTGCAGAAGCCGGGCACAGTCCCAGCAACCGGGGAGGCTGAGGCAAGAGGATCACAGTTTGAGGCAAGTCTCAGTAATTTAGTGAGGCCTTCAGCAACTTAGCAACTCTGTTTCAAAAATAAATAAATAAAATAAGAAAGGCTGGGAATGTGGCTCAGTGGTTAAGTGCCCCTGGGTTCAATCCCTAATACGACAACAACAACAACAACAAAAAAAAAACTATTGCAGAGTTTTGGGGTATCTCCTGAGATTGGTAGGTGCCCCCAGGCAGAGGCAATTGGACCTCACCAGCCATGGGTTGGGCTTCTGGGGGAAGGGGTCTTGAAGACCAGGGGGAAGCCAGGACTGGACCACTGCCAGCAACAAGGGTTTAAGGAGACCATGTTGGGGTGAGATAGGCGCTCGGCTCTTGCCAGATACAAAGGTGGGAAGCCCCATGGAGTGAGTCTGCGGGAGGGAGCAGCCCAGGCGGGTGTACCCAGGGGCAGGACCTACTCAGGGTGGCTCTGCTCTGAGCTGCTGCCTCTGGGCCTGCTGGAAGCATGAGGCTGGGCCAGAGCGGAGGCCCAGGGCAGAGGGGCCAGAGATGCCAGGACCCGGGCAGCCCTCCAGTGGGCATGCCAGAGTACTGGACCCAAAGACACTTCCCTTGGCCAGCCCCTACCCAGGCCTCCCCTCTCCAGTGGGTTGGGTGCAACACAGCACAAACCCCAGTCCTCACTCCACAAGCAGCACAGGAGCAGTGGCATGCTGACCCTGGACATTTGGGATGGCCTATCCCGTAGGACGGCCAGAGGCAAGTCCCCAAAGCCACATGATGCCAGAGTGACAGGCATGGAGGGCTCACAGGAACCATGGGTGGGCCTGCAGCTGGAGAGCCCTGGGAAGGGAGCTGGGCTGCTGAGGCCTTTCTGACCCCACTGGGAGCTGCCCATCCTTTGCAGCAAACCATCCCTTTGCCAATGGAAAAAGGGGTCCCTGTCCTTTACCATTCTAGCCCCTGCCAGACCTGAGAGCACTGATGTGCATGGTGGGTGGGAAACTGGACATGTGTGTGCTCGTGTGGCCCTGGTCCCTGCAGTCCGCCCCCGCCTCGCCTGGGTGCAAGGTGCACCCTGTGGCCCTGGAGGTGACCAGGCCTGCATCCACGTCTCCTGAGTCAAGTGGGCTGTGTTTGAGACCATCTTCTGGCTGCACCAAGGTCACACGACCAGGCTGGAGAACATGGACTCTCGAGGCTCCTCGGGTAACATAGGGGTCTGGTCACCTGCATAGGGAGAGACCACCAGCAGCTGGCAAGGAGGGTTGGTGGGCAGAGGAATGGCCACCCCACAGGAGCTATGGTACTGGCTAGCATCTTGGGGAGGCTCCTGGTCAGGCTCCCTTGCCAGGACCCTCACCCACTTCGGGATGGGGGTACCGACGAACTTCAGCTTTTCTTGGGGAGAATATAAGACGTTTATCTTTTATTTTAAAAATAAAATGTGGGCTGGGGATGTAGCTCTGTTGGCAGAGTGCTTTCCTCGAATGCACAAGGCCCTGGGTTCAATCCCCAGCACCACAGAAAATAAATAAATAAAATAAAATGTCCTCTTGGTCTCAGGCACCCTGGCTCCAAGGAAGCTGGAATACTAGCGTGGGGGCTATGACTGCCCCCGTGGTGTCCAGACAGGACCCCAGGGTGTCACCCTCTCACGCAGCCCCAGCCTGCCAGGCAGGTGAGAAAGCAGAGACTGGTGTGGTGGTGGGGATGGCAGCCAGGTGCCAGGGGCTGGCACTTCTTGCTCCAGTGGCCATCTGTCCTGGAGGTCCAGACTGGGGCTCCCCTGGAAAGACAGCAGGACTAAGGGGGTCCTGGGGCTTGTGGGGTGCTGGACCATCAGGAAAACACTCATGGCTGCTGCTGCCTTAAAACCTAAGCCGGCTTGTTTAATTCTCTGTGTATACTCCTCTTTATTAGTGGATAAATATTAGAAAATCATCTCTCAGAAGGTGCGGTCAGGGGCGAGCTGGGCTTGCCCAGCCGACTGGGGGCAGGCCCTCCCGGGGGCCCTGGAGTGGTCTGCAGGGTAAGGCTGTCCCGCCATGGTTCATACACCAGTGTGTAGCTCTCTGCCCTCTTGACAGTGAACTTGTAGGTGCGGTTGGGCAGCAGGTTGTGGACATCGAAGGTGCAGGTGGCCACAGGGATGATGCCACACTGCGTGCATTCCTGCTGTGTCCGTGGCTCCAGCAGCTTGAAGCGCAGCTCAAACTGCTCTGGCACCGCTGGCTGGATGGTGACAAACCAGCGCAGGCTGACCCAGTCCTGGTGGGCCACTGACTCCTTTCGGTCAAACATGACTGGCATCTTGGTGCTCAGCATGAGCCGGATGTGTGGAATCTTTGTGGCCCCAATGTCGGATACCAGGCGGTGCTTGATGTGCAGGCGCCCTGGCACCATCATGGCCAGGAAGTTGTCCATGACAGCCGACAAGTCTGCCAGCCGCTGCTCCACAAGCCCCCAGCCAGCCAGGAAGGGCCGCGGGTCTGGGGACTCGAGCAAGGCATCCAGCTCTGTACGGCCACGGTCCAGCTGCTCCAGCAGGTCTCCCAGCAGCAGCAACTGGATCTTGGTCTGTGCTGTGCCCACCTTCTTCATGCGCTGGAACTTCCAGGGGTCAATGAGCTGGAACATGGTGTTGGGCAGCACCAGTGGGTTCTGGTCACCCAGGGCCAGGTGCTTGGGGAGGACCTCAATGTAGTAGGAGCACTTCTTCAGCAACTGCATGCGGGCATGGTGGCGCTTGAGCAGATGGGGGCTCAGGTCTGAGGTCAGGAACTCACGAAGCACATTGCGGTGCTCCATATAGGTCCTCCAAGCTTCTGGCTCCAGCAGCTGCTGATCCTCCCCCTCTTCCACCTCCTCCGTGTCCAGGAAGGACTGTGGACTGTCCAGCCTCATCTTGTCCAGGCCCAGGCCCGTGACCTTGAAGTTCATGGTCTGGAGCTAGGGGTAAGGGCTGGCATGAGCTGCAACAGTCAGGCTGGCTTAGCCGCCCACCCAGGCCCTCTGTCCTCTGCCCTCTGCCCTCTGCCCCACACTGGGCTTCTGCCCTTCCCAGGGGCACAGCTTTTTGAGAAAAGGCTATCTCAAGGGCCTGACAGAAAGTCTGTGTAGCTGGACAAAAGTGGACGTTGGGGGCAGAAAACCTCTTACCAAGGGGGCAGTTAGTTGTCCTTTGAAGTGAAGAGTCAAGTCAGGGCTGAGAGAGTAGGCTGGGGTCAGAATGGCCCAGGCGAAACCCCTGCCACTGACCAGCTGTGGGTCTGGTATGAGCTCAGTTCCTCATCTGACACAGGGAAGGTGCCCTAGGGCTGTAGAGAGGACTCAGTGACCCTGAGCAGTCCATGACTCTCTCTTGGGGCACTTGTGGTGCATTCTCACCTACTGGTTCTCCCTGAGGTTGCAGAGCAGAGGAGCAGGTCTCAACGAGGAGAGTGCTCTGAGGAATCAGCACTGCATTAGTCCTAGTACTGAGTATTCCCGTACTGAGGCTGGTGGCACAGAAAAAGACCCACAAAAGGATAGGTCCTGTCACCAGCTTTCACAGATGGAAGCCTGAGGCTAAGAATCTTGGTAGTTTAGTCTCCTTCCAGGTCTTAAAAAAATCCCTATATTTATTTTGAGATGGGGTCTCATTATGTTGCCCCAGTTGGCCTTGAACTCCTGGGTTTAAAGTACCCTCCTGCCTCAGCCTCCCCAGTAGCTGGAACCACAGGTACTGCTCCTGGCTGCTTCCATGATATGAACCATCAGCCCCAGAGTCTGCCCTCTGCTCCTCCCAGCTCAGGTTCCAGCTCTGTGTTGGTGGGGCTGGTGTACCCCAAGGCTGGGTGCTGCCACAGGCTGGCCCTGCTGCCAAAGCTCTCTGGAGAAGAGGCCAATATCCCTGGCTACCTTCAGCTCCCAGCAACCCCTGAGCTGGGCCAGTGGCTTCAGCTGGCATCCCTGATGTCATAGACTTCTGGAGTGAATGGATTACCTAGGAGCGAAGTGACCCAAGGCCATACAGGTCTGTGGTCAGAGTGTGACCCGAGACAGCCTCAGTCCTTAAAGGCCTACCTTGCTCTTCCTGGAGCAAAAGAGCCAGAGCAGACCCCTGGAGACACAGGGAGGGTTTCTGGGGTGAGGTGCAAGCTGAGATCAGGACCCCAGGAGTCCTGGCTGGAACCCTGCTCTGGCTGCAGGCCAGCACACCTCACCACCTCCGTGCACAGCAGCCTCCCAGCTGGAAGGCTGCATAGGGCTGCCCATGAACTCTAGGAAGGGGCATCCCCAGACCTATCCTTCCCCACCATCCTGACCCCATTACGCCCCTGGCCACAGGCCACTTCCCTTAAACAGACTACCGGCACCCCAGGCATCTCCACCCTTGCGCACTCCCCTCGCTTCCCGGCCCCCGTGCCCACCTCCCGAGTCCCGCACCTACCCCTCGTTTCCCAGAGCCCTCCTCTCCAAGTGCCGCTGCCTCCCCAGCCTGCGCCTGGCTTGCCGGCTGAGCGAAGCCCTGCTGCCGACTGTCAAAGCCCTCCGCGCCGCCTCGGCCCCGCCCGCCAGCGGGTTGCCATGGGGACTGCAGGTCATTGTGACACCCCGCGCGACGGGATGCCTGCGACGTGTCGTGAGGGTTGAGCGTAGACGCCGCGGGCGAGGGTGTTCAGCGCCCTGCGGACAGAGAGCAGCGGCCCTCAGCCCCGCCCCGTGGCCCCGTGCGCAACGAAAGCCAGGCTTGGCGCGGGGGTGCCGCGAACGCGGAGCCTGAGGCCTACCGCCTTCAGCTCGTGCCCTCGGGGGGGATCAGCACTGGCACCTGCGGACCCTTTTTGGTACAGGGAAGGGCACCTGCAGGAGGTCCCAGCCCTAGCACCGCCCTGGGGGTCTCCGAGGAATTCGGTCAAGGTGACCAGGAATTGGTGACGGGGTCACCTTAGCCAGCCGTCAGCAGGGCCAGGGGTGACCACTTCTCCCACGCAGGCTGCCTCTCCACAGGGTTTGCCCAAGCTTAGGCCATGTCTGGTCTGGATAAATGGGGTCTCCATTTAGCTCTAGGGAAGGTCTCAGGTCCCCATCCCATCCGTACACCCTACACCCCCCACCTCCCCCCTCTAGCCTTCAGACCTGTGGGATCACCACCCATCCCCCTATTGCTGGGAAGACAGCCTGGGTTTTTTCTGGCAATGGTCTCAGACACCCAAAGGTGCACTTCGCCACTTACTGCCCCCACATAGGAGCAACCCCTTCCAGGATAAGACTTTGTCCCCAACTCCTCTTACCCTGTTCTGTGGCCACAGCCCTTCAGCTCCAGCTGACTGTCCATTGGTTTGCTGTGACCTCCCAGCCTAAGGATGGAAGCCCAGGAACTGACTGGACAGGGGTGGTGGGTGCTGATCTGTCCTTGCCAGGACACTAAAGAAGTCAGAGCAGGGGTCATTGTTGATTTAGAGATTCAAGGGAGATCTAGATTATTTGAAGAAAAGGCACTGCCAGAGGGGGGTGACTGCCTCTGGGAAGGGGAAGTGGGTGAAAATCAGCAGGAGGAAGACCCTCTAACCCCAGGCCTGCAGCTCTCCCCTAGAGGAGGAATGTGGGGACAGAAACCCCTCCTCTCAGGCATGTCCTGATTTCTGCCCTCTCCTTGTCCCCCTCCCTTTTAAAATATTTTTTAGCTTTAGGTGGACACAGTATTTTATTTTATTTTTATGTGGTGCTGAGGATGGAACCCAGTGCCTCACACAGGCTAGGCAAGTGCTCTACCACTGAGCCACAACCCCAGCTCTCCAAACCCTTTTTGCTATTCCTAATTTCCCATCTAAATTTTTCCCTAATTTCCCATCTACTTTTTAATCAGCTTTTCATTTGAGATATGTGGATTGAGATATGTGGTTAGTAGGGACTAACAAATCCCACGTACATGTACCCAGTGTCCACAGAAGGAGACCTTTTGGAAAGCTGTAACACAGGATCACACTGGGACACTGATATTGACTGACACAGGGAGATCCACCAAAGGAACTCCTTGGTGACTCACCCACCCTTCCTTAGCCCTGCAACCACTAACTATGATTGTGTCATTTTAAGAATGCTGTATAGGGGCTGGGGTTGAAACTCAGTGGCAGAGTCTTGCCTAGCACACACACAAGGCCCTGGACTGAATCACAGTACCTGCAGCCTTTGGGGTTAGCCTCTGAGGTTCAGAGTAGTTCCTGACTGTTGGGACTATCCTGTGCACTAACAGTTGCTCTGTCTCATTGCTGAGTGGTGTTCTGTGGCCGGGATGGCCCAGTTTGCTTACAGTCTTGTCTGACCTTGGGTGGGCAGTGAGCTGATGCTGGTGGAAAGTTTCCCTGGGAGCAGTGAGGTTCCACTCCTGGGGAAGGGGGAGCACACCCCACCCATAAAGACCCTTGAAGCTGTGCCCTCTGGATATGGATGGAACTCTGAGCTCCTGCAGCCAGCCTCAGCCTGACACCCAGGATGCTGCCCCTCACACCAGCACACTGATGATGAGCAGCTTTTGCCCCCTCCAGGGACCTCCACTCTCGAGGGCAGCAGGGCAGGAGCTCCAGCCTTTCTCTTGCTGCACTTGCAGGGCGTGGCAGGGCAGTGCCGCTCCCTCCCGCTGGGCCTGCGGAGCACGACTGGGGCCGGCGCCTGCCGCGGCACCGCCCACTCAATCACCTGGAGCCTGTCCTCTGCTGCAGCCCCGCCCAGCTGCTCTCAGCACAACCGGACATCACAGCGGTCCTCGGGAGGGGCTACGGGTGCTGCCCTTCGCCCCACCCGTCATTTATCCAATCTAGGAAGCAGGCGGGGAGCTGTGTGCCTTGTTTAGGGACCCTCTGGAGTGACCCTGTCTGTCATTCTATACCAGGTGCCAGCTAGGGACTTGCGCAGGAAGTCCGCCCAGCGGTCCCACCGGCCCTTCCAGTTTCTCCTTCGCACTCTGATGGCTTCGGCACTCGGCCTCCTCTGCTGGGGGTTCTTCAGCCGGGTGTGCTGACCCTAAGGCTGCCCCATGCACCTCCAGCGTCAGCCGAGCCCGACGCCCCCCAAGGGCGCGGAGCCCTTCCTCAGGAAGCGTCTGGCCTTCCTGACGTTCTGGGACAAGATCTGGAGGCGGGTGAGCCAGAGGGCAGCATCCCCGGGCCCCAGGGCCCTGACGCCGCCGTCGCCGGCCCAGAGCCGTAGCCCCCCGCCAGCCCAGCGACCGAGCCCCTGGCTAGCCCAGCGCCCTAACCCGCCGCCGGCTCAGCGACCGAGTCCCCCACAGAGCCCTGAGTCGCGCTCTGCGCCCCCCGCGCAGCTCTTTCATGCGCTCTACAACTTCACCGCGCGGTGCGCGGAGGAGCTGAGCGTCACTCGCGGGGACAGGCTCTACGCCCTCAAGGAGGAGGGCGACTATATCTTCGCCCGAAGGCTCTCCAGCCCGCACAGCACCGGGCTGGTGCCCATCAACTACGTTGCCAAAGCCACCCCTGAGATGCTCTCAGACCAACCGTGAGTACTTGGGCCTGAGCCCCAGAGCCTGTATAGGTCTGGGGAGTGGAGTAAGACAGGATTTTAAGTGGGAATGTATGCATGTTCTCTGACCCTCCATGAGGTACCTGTTGCACCAGGATGAGCAGGCAGGTGAGCTGGCCACTGTGAAACAGATTAACTGCACTTCTTAGAGGGAAGCACAGGAGTAGCAGGTCCAGGTGATGGACAACAGGTCAGGTGCTGAGCATGGCAGCACTCCAGGACCCTGCCCTCATGCAGGGATCCACTTCACGAGTGTTCACTGAGTGGCCCCTGCTTCGGGGGCAGGGCTTGGGCTCTGATATGTGCCAGTTGATTCAGGCCTCACTCCATTCCAGGAGCTCTTCGGAGGGCTTCAGGTTCCAGGCATCCATGCAGGGACCCCTGGTACTGTAAGGGCACTATACCACCTGTCCACATTCTCCAAACCACCCAAGTGGGATCCAGACATGCCCTGGCTTGTTTAGGAAGAAGGTGCAAGGGGGAATGGATGAATTCCTGGGGTCCCCAGGACTGGTAAAGACCACCAGTGGCAAGTGGCCAGTGTGGATACCTGGTTGTTTGCACAACACTCTGGGATTTGGAGGGCAGGTGCTCTCCTGGTTGGGTCCTCAGAGAAGCCCAGGCTGAGGGTTCACTGGGCTGCATAGCCTCCTGGGTTGCAGGCAGAGACTAAGCACTCCTGTGTGCCAGCTCCAAACAGGGCCTATATGAGGGACACAGTGCTGTGGTGTCAAGTATTGGACCCAGGTCCTAGGGTGTGGTTCCTGCCTGCCTTTCCCCTAAATGCAGTTGGTCAGCCCAGATTTTGTGGCTATTGCAGTCTCCATTATCAAGATGTGGCAAGCTCTGGCCCAGTCTGGGGATCCTGGGAGGTTTAGATACCTCCTTTAGCACCAGCAGGTGGGGAGGGTCTTTCATCAGGCACATGCTGGGATGAACAGGTGGAGAACTGGTGGGAAGCAGGTCCTGCTGGGCCTTGGGCAGCTTCCCCTGCTCCTAGGCTCAGCTAGTCTGAGCCCTGGGCCTGGTCTCTGCAAACCAAGTTGTGTCAGCATTGCTCAGGGCCACCTCCAGCCTTCTGGGGGGCCCTTAGTGTTCAGTCTCCTGGGAGATTTCATGTGACAGGTGAAGCTGGAGTCACAGGAAGGTGCCTGATGAGGGGCTCCAGCCCTCACCCATGCCAAGGAGGCAGGTCCCAGGTCTCCCTGTTCTGAAGGGAGAGGGTTCACAGTCAGTGGATATGGAAGACAGATCCTGTGAACAGCTCCTGGAGGCTGCTGGCACGGCAGGCAGGCAGGGAAGGGCGCCTGGTGGGCAGGGCTGCTCTAGGGGAGAGCTAATGATTGCCTGAGCCTGGAGATGAAAGGCCTGACCACACTTGTGGCATCATTACTCTAGCACCTGGCTCCGTGTCCCAGAGAGAGACCTTTACCTCTCAGGGTGCACAGGGGAGTCTCAACTGCATTTGCAAGGGTCGTGACGCAGGCTCCTGGAGAAGGCTGGGGACATGTTGGGGAGACCCCCTTTCTCCTGTACCCCACATCCTTCTGTTCTGTAAAGGAATGACAGAGGCCCTTCACCCACAGAAGGTCTTGCTGGCCTGCTGGTGGACCTCCAAGGCAGGGACTGTATTCAGGAAGCATTCAGTAGAGCCAGCCAGTCTTGTGGGCTGTACCTTTGGCTTCTCAAATGAGTTTGTGGTCTTCTCAGAGCCTGCTGCATGGCCAGTCTCAGGAGGGTCCAGCCCAAATTCCAGCCTTGTCCTTGATTCTGTGCCCTTCCCTCTGACTTCAGCCCAGCCCCTTGCCTTGGCCAAGCCAGTTCCCTCACCCATGGCTCCCCAGGGTAGGGGTGCAGGCTCCTCTGGTCCCATGTGGGCTGCTCTGAGTCGCACTCCGGGTCCTCCAGGATCCCTTCTGACCCTACTCTCTGGGTGGTCTCAGAGCTGGCCCCCATGCCCCTTGCTCACTGTGCTTCCTGCATCTGGGTGAATGAGATCCCGTGCTCACAGGACTGTTCCCATGTGGCTGTGCTCCCGCGGGGCAGGGCAGCGTGCTTCTCTTGGCTGGGTCCCTGGAAGGTCCCAGAAGTAGGAGGTCGAGGTGGGAAGCTGAGCCAGGTGTGGATCCCCACCTGGACCCTGGACAGCAGAGACACCCAATGGGGAGGGGGGCTGGGAGCTACTTCTCCCTCCCAAGGATGTCACTGGCTCCCAGGAATGAGGGGACCACACGGCGTGACTTAAACGACTTAGGAGATGGCCCCTGACCTCTAAACTCGAGTTTGTGGACTCCTGTGTCTAGAAATCTGAGGAGTGGGCTGGGATTGTAGCTCAGCAGTAGAGCACTCACCTAGCATGTGTGAGGCACCACATATAAATTAATTAAAGTCCACCAACAAACAAAATAAATGAATAAATAAGTAAATCGAGGAGTGGGTGCCGGGGAGCCCCTGTCCCCTGGTGTTCACAGAGGCCCAAACACCTACCTGGCTCAGAGGGGAGCGTTCTACGGACAGAGGTCAGGTAGCTCTGGGCCACCTTCCCTGGGCAGGACCTTGAGACTGCAAGATGCCATGAGCTTCTCCTAAATCCCTCACTGGTTCTGTCTCCCGACCTGCACAACCTGGCTCAAGTCACCTGCTCTAGGGGCTCCCAGTCCCCATTAAGCCACCTCCCAAGGCACCATGCCCCGTCAGATGGCACCCATGGTCCTCTCCGGTCATACTGGCAGCCCAGAGGGTGCTACTGGGGCAGTTTGCTGGGGACCTGTTCCTGTGAACCCCCATAGGGGATCATCAAAGTTTCAAGTTTGGTGCGTTCAGCCTGTGGCCAGGGCTGATGGTTAGCCTGTGGCAGGGACTAATGGTCACTTGATGGGCAGGGAATTGGAGGTCATTTGTAGCAGAGTTAACTGAAAGCTAGTGGTCCAGGTGAGTGAACAGTCTCTCCTGTGGGAGTCAGTGTTCAGTTCACCTGTGGTGGCTGAGTTAGCCCCGTGCCAGCCTTAGTGGTCCCCTTTCCAGCTCTGAGGACTCTTGAGGTCAAGCAGGGGACAGGGGCTGGTGGAGACCCTGAGTTGGGACCCCAGATTGGGCACTGGTTGTACCTTGTCCCCAAGAGATGTCAGGACAACTGTGGCCTGAGGCCTGGCTGGGGTCACACGGTGTTGGACTTGCAGTGACCTTGCCCACTGCTTGCAGCTGGTACTTCTGTGAGATCAACAGGACCCAGGCCCAGCAACTGCTCTTGTCCCCTGCTAACGCTCCAGGGGCCTTCCTCATCCGGCCCAGCGAGAGCAGCCTTGGAGACTACTCACTGTCAGGTACAAAGGCAGTGCCTTATGGCTGTCCCACAGTGGGGTGCTGCTCAGCCCCCATCAGCTAGCACCTCGGAGCTGGGGTGGCGGGTCCCCAGGCAGTACCAGCCTCTTTACCCATTCCTGGTGAACATAGGTGTCCTCCCCTCCCTCTTTCCCTTCCTCCTCCCTCCCTTCACTTAATCATGGACTCCTTCATCCAACAAGAATCTATCAAGCACTTGCTCTGTGCCCCCAGAGCTCAACACTGCCTCTGCCATGCAGCTGCCACACCCACCCCTGCACACAGGGCTGGCCACCTCAGGAACCCCAGACACTGGTCTGAGCCAGGCCACAGGAGAGGTTGAGGTGGGGACGCCTGCAGCAGAGTCCCCAGTGTCCATCTCTGTCTCCCAGTCCGGGCCCAGGCCAAAGTCTGCCACTACCGCATCAGTACAGCCCCGGGAGGCGGCCTCTACCTGCAGGAGGGCCGGCTCTTCCCCAGCCTGCAGTCTCTGCTCGCCTACTACAAGGCCAACTGGAAGCTGATCCAGAACCCACTGCTGCAGCCCTGCGTGCCCCAGGTGGGCCTCACTGGACCCTGTTCCTGGGAGCCACCAGGACTCAGTCTCAGAGTCGCTCAGCCAGTTCCTGGGCCTGCCCCACCTGGGGGCAGTGAGAGCCAGTGGCTTCTGTGCCCTCCACTTGGGGTGGCACTCTGGCTGTTGGAGGAAAGATGCGGGGGATCACTGTGGGGGGGTATGGGTGCACCCCACTCTGCAGGGCAGGAGGCAGTGGCAGTGACCAGTCGGGGAAGGCACCCACAGCTGTCCCAGGCCCTGAAGGCAGAAGTGTCGGGAGGAAGTGCTAGCCCTCCCATGGGGCTGAATCCTGGAACTGCACCAGAGCTGTGCTCCAGGGCAAGGGCAGAGCCCTCTGGTTTCTCTGGTCTCATAATGACAGCCCAGTCAGGAGCAGTAATGAATGTCTGTGGACGGATATCCGGCCGGCTCAGGAGAAGGTGCCACTTAGGTCCCCACAGCAATTAGCTCCTGCATCTCAGGGCCAGTCTTACCAAAGGCCAGCATTGGTTTCCCTGTGTTCTAGTCCAGGCCTGGGGCGAATGAGTCTAGGGGAAAAGAGATGCCCAAGACCTGATGTGGGGGCTCTGTGCAGAAAAAACCAGGAGGCAGGGCCCTGCCAGAAGCCCACCCTGCCCAGCCCTCCTGTCCACTTTGCCAGGGGAGTGGCTGGCAGGGCACTGAGCTGCCTTCCCTGCAGAGGCCCCCAGCACAGGACAAGTGGGAGCGACCTCGCTCAGAATTTGTCCTTGGGAAGAAGCTGGGTGAAGGCTACTTCGGGCAAGTGTGGGAAGGCCTGTGGCAGGGCTCTGTGCCCGTGGCAGTCAAGACCATTAAGTCAGGTGAGGCCCTCCGTCTGAAGCCAGCCTGGGGCGGTAGTGGGGGTGGCATGGGTGGTCCTGGTGCAGTGTCCTCTCCTGCAGCCAACATGAAGTTGGCTGACCTGGCCAAGGAGATCGAGGCGCTGAAGACCCTGAGGCACGAGCGGCTCATCCGGCTGTATGCGGTGTGCTCCGATGGAGAGCCTGTGTACATCGTCACGGAGCTCATGTGCAAGGGCAGTCTGCAGTCCTATCTGGGAAGTGAGTACTGCCCTGCCATGCTGGCCATATCCTTCTGGTTGAGTGTGGATGATGCCCTCCCCTCTGCATGGAGGCTGTCCCTGGGGCCCTTGGTGGCAGGCCATTGGTGGTGGGCCAGGCCTCTTTATTGAACATGTATGGCCCAGGCTGCAGACACCAGTTCCTGCTGGGTCTCTGGCCAGCAGGGAGTTGGGAGCCAGGATCTGGGCTGGGGCTGGGCTTTGCTGAGGGACAATCAGAGACATGTGTTTCTGAGGCTGAGCCTGGAGTCTACCGGGAGCAGGGGTCCCCATATGGGTTACCAGCTCTGTATAAGGTCTGTGGACCCAGCCCAGCCCCCGGGCACCCCATCCTCCTCTCTGAGTCTCCTCTACCCTGGAGTCTCAGGGTTTTGACTCAGTGGCCAAGAAACAGCTTGCATTGAGCAGTCACATGGAGGCACAGGACCTGCTCGTCCTGTCCTGCTCACTGCCCACTTTGGCATTACTGGCTGTTCTCATGCCATCTTAGAGAGCAGGAGACTGAGGCACAGAAGGGTCAAGAGGCTTGAGCAGGCATCTGCCTGCCTGACTCTCATGGGGCCCGTTCTGTAGCCTTTGGTCCCTGAGCTGCTTTCCCTTTGCAGGCCCCGAGGGCCGGGCCCTGAGCCTGCCGCTCTTGCTGAGCTTCGCCTGCCAGGTGGCCGAGGGCATGGGCTACCTGGAGGAGCAGCGTGTGGTCCACCGGGACCTGGCTGCCAGGAACGTGCTCGTGGGCAATGACCTCACTTGCAAGGTGGCTGACTTTGGCCTGGCCCGGCTGCTCAAGGTCAGTGGGGATTCTGGACTCCTGAGCCCACGGGCAAGGAGGGCACTTCTGCGACTGCTCCACCACTGGCCTCCCCTCACCCCCCAGGATGATGTCTACTCCCCAAGCAGTGGCTTCAAGATCCCTGTCAAATGGACGGCACCCGAGGCCGCCAACTACCGTGTCTTCACCCAGAAGTCAGACATCTGGTCCTTTGGCATCCTGCTCTACGAGATCTTCACCTATGGCCAGTGTCCCTATGAAGGTGTGCAGCCTACCCAAAGAGAGCCAAGGCCTCTTCTGGAAGAAGTTTGATCTGAGGGAGGAGGCTCATCCGGCCCTGGGAGGGCTGAACCTTGGAGGGTACCTGCCTTCAGCCTGTGCTCTGAGGGCTGGAGGGGCTGGTGGAGGGCAGGCTGCTAGGCTGGGCAAGGTCTCCACAGCGAACCCAGACAGAATCAAGGTAGCTCCCACTCCATATCCACCCCCCTCCCCAGGAATGTCTAACCAGGAGACACTGCAGCAGATCAGCCGAGGATACCGGCTGCCGTGCCCAGCCACCTGCCCAGCGGAGGTCTACACACTCATGTTGAGGTGCTGGAAGGACAGCCCTGAGGAGCGGCCCACTTTTGCCATGCTGTGGGAGAAGCTGGGCACCATGCACAGGCACCTCCACCTGGCCCTCTTGTGACCAGGGCTCTGGCCATGGGTGGCGGCCAGGGCCAATGCTCTCTGCAGGGTGACCCCAGGTCAAGGCTGCACAGCTGGGAACCAAACCAGCAACTCCAGCTGTGGGCCTCCTGTGCTGACACGTAGGGACCTGGACACCTGCAGATGGAGCTCAGCCACCCACACCCACCCAGATGGCAGAGTGTCCTTTGCCTGGTGTGGCCTGTGTGCTTGGCGTCTCCAGGACAGAGGAAGCACAGAGTAGAGCCTCAGAGACACTGGGTGGAGAGGCCGCAGCTGGCCTTGTGCGGGTCCTCCTTGACTCCTTCCCAGGGTGAAGGAGGGAGGGGAAGATTCCCCCACGTCCCACTGTGAGTTTAAGTGGCCAGCGCTGGGGCGCCCAGGCAGACCCAATGGCACATGTGTGCACATAGGGCTGGCACTGTCTCCTGCCCCCTGTAGGCACTGGCAAACCTGGCACATGTGGCTACACCCAGTAAAGATGTTCTGATTGACTCAGACATGGGCATGGATGTGTTACACGCTGACCCCCAAGCCCAGAACCAGGCGATGGAGCTGAAGGAGGTCCATCCTGCTAACAAAGGTGGAAGAGAGAGCAGAACCCCCAGGACACCCTGGTGCCCAAAATGAGCAGCCACAGAGTGAACTCTGTGGATGTTGGCAGGAACTGACAGGCTGTAGGTGTCAGTCACAGCCCTGCTCTGGGCTGGAGCAGAGCCAGTGGGCTGGGCTTGAGGTGGGAAGTCTCAGGACCCAGGAGGACAGGCTGGGTTGCTGGTGGACAGCATGAGACTGCTTCTAGGGCAAGCCACCTGTACTTGAGGTCTGTTCCCAGGATGGGCAGTGGGTGGAGGCGGGGTGGGCGGGGTGGGGCAGGTGCTGTGTGTGTGCTAGCTGCCAGCTGCCAGCCCACTCCAGGGAAGACCAAATCCCAGATGGGCATACTCTTATCGGGGGTGGGATTCTTTGGGAACGAGGAGCTGGGCAGGGCCGTGTGGCTGGCCCTTGGCTACCCCACACCACAGGATACCAGGGGTGGCACACAGAGGCTGGGGGTTTCATCCAGGGTCTCCTAAGATCACCCTCTGTCCCTGGGAGCCCAGGTTTGCAGCTGTGCCCCTAAGGCTGTAGGGACAGAAAGACAGCTTCAGCTCACCATCTCCTAGAGGGACGGAGCTCAGGCGCAGGTCTGAGGCCGGTTTGCTCATTATCACTGATCACAGGCCCTGCCCACGTGCTGGCATAGGAGGGAGCTGGGAACAGGAACCCCTCTGTGCGAAGTGACCACCCCCCAGGCAAAGCAGTGGCTCTGCAGGGCTGGCACAGTCGGCCTCCTGGAGGGAGGCAGAGTGGTCCCCGGGGGACCAAGGGCAGGGCAGCACGTGCAGAGGAGAGCCCTGGAGGCTTGTCATTCTGGGGACGCAGCTGAGCCTGGCTGTGCTGGGTGGAAAGGGGAGATCTAGGTGCCTCGGAGGCCACACTGGGTTCCAGCCCTGTGGGTGGCGGCAGCAGAGGGGTTTGGGCTGAGCCCTTTTGGGGCCCCCACTCCTGACCTCTGGGCCATACTTCTGCCTGGGCCTGCAGCTCCCAACCCCGCCACCCCAGGAGGGTGGGGGCACTGGGCTGGAGAGGCGAGGCCCTGAGCCAAAGTCTCAGGCACCTCCCCAGCACATAGTCAGGGTGGCCTGGGCTCTGGGGTGGCTCAGCCTAGTTTGGGGACCTGGGCTGGCACCTGTTCTGGGATGGGAGGCCTCTGCAGGAGGCCATCCCACAGAGGCAGGTTTGTTTGTGGCCTGGGCACATTCCTGGGTGTCCTGTCAGCCATGGGTTGGGAAGGTTGACCCTTCTGGGTCCCCAGCAGGGGCTGCGGATTCCTGCTTCCTGGTAAATCTTGGAATCACCCACACATTTGCCCAAGGACTCGCAGAGGCTTCTGGACACAGCTCAGGTCCAAGGCTTGAGGGCACTGGAGCAGGCAGGGGCAGAGGCCGGAGTGCAAAATCTGTGTTCCCTGGGCCAGCCGGACATCCAGACGCGCCTCCCCTTGACGTCCTTCCCCTCCTCGTCTGACCTCTGACTTCAATCCTCTACAGTCCCTTCCTCACCTTGAAGAAAAGTGAGCTGGGCTGCCTGAGCTGTCCATGAACCTGCCAAATAATCCACATTCCTCCTCTTCGTCTCAGATGAAGTGGGTGGAAGTGCCATTATTTCTCTTAAAAAAATATATGTCTAAAGGCTGAACTGTAGCTCAGAGCACTTGCCTGGCACAGGTGAGGTCCTGGCCTTGATCCTCAGCACCACCCAAAGGAAAGGTTCCAACCAGCTTAGCCCGTGATCCCCTGGTCACTCCTCACAGACTTGGTGACTTCCTCTCCCCACTCCCTCCTGCCCCCTTCACAGCTGTCCTCCGAACCCCTGGGGAGGTGCTCCTGGAGGAGTCAGGGCAGGGCCGCAGGTTAGGAGATGGTCTGGGTCTCCCTGGGGAAAGGGTGCAGGGGCAGAGCGTCAGTTTCACTGTGGGGCCGGGTGGGGGCTGGGTAGTGGGAGGCTGAGGGGTCACAGGCAGGCTGCTAGGAATGGGGAGGTGGGGCCAGGCAGGGTTGGAGGGGGGTGCAGGGAGGGAAGAGGGTTCCCTGGCAGTGAGGTGCTTCAGGCCGCAGCTCATGGTCTTTGGACGCCCCCATGTGTCCTTGCCGGGAAGGGCACAGTGCCTGCTTCCTCGGCTCCTGGTCCCTTGGCCCCTCATGTCCCCGTCCCCTGTTGGTCTCCCAGCTGCCTGAGCCCTGGCCCAGCCTTCCTTTCCAGGGTGGCTCCCCAGGATGGATTCTCTGAGTGTCCTCACAGGGCGGGCCAGAGCTGCCGGCACCCCCACTGGCTGTATGGACACCCAGGCCCTGGCATGCTGCCCTTGGCCCACAAGCCTCACCCCTGGGCCCCTCCCCGCCGGCGGCCTCTTCCTTGAGTCCACCTCAGTCCCCTCTTGCTCCCTCCCAAGGGTGACCCTGACTGTGGGGGCTGCCCACGGAGGTGCCCCCTGCAGCTCCCTGCGTTAGTCTGTGGTGAAGAGGCCCCTGGCCACCTCCAGCGATCTGCCCACCTCCAGCGATCTGCCCACAGCCCTCACTGATGCCTTCTCTGGCCCCCTCCTACTGCCCCTGGGACCCAGGACTCACCCCCAAAGGTCCCTGGCTCTGCTGACACCTGCATGAGATGTCCTGGTCCATGGGCGGCTCCGCCTCCCTCCCATGTGGCTGCTGGGCCGGCAGGTGGGCGTGTGAGACTGGTGGGGCTCCAGGGTGGAGCCCGGGATAGGCCAGCCCCAGTGGGTGCGGGTGCGGCTGGCCTGTCTGGTGATGAGGAAGTGAGTGGGGTTGGCCTGTCAGGGACAGCTTTCTGCCCTTCCCAGCTCACAGCCCTGTCCTGCTACTGTGCCTGCCATGGTGTCCCGGGACCAGGTCCACCTAGGCCCCAAGTATGTGGGCCTCTGGGACTTTGAGGCACGGACAGATGAGGAGCTGAGCTTCCGGCAGGGGGACATCTTCCACGTGACCAGGAAGGAGGAGCAGTGGTGGTGGGCCACCCTGCTGGACTCTGCAGGTGCGGCCCTTGCTGAGGGCTATGTGCCCTGCAACTACCTGGCAGAGAAGGAGGCCGGGGAGTCTGAGCCGTGAGTGTCCCTGGGCTGCGAGGGCTTGTGGCAGGGCAGGAGCTGTGTGCAAGAGTGGGCAGGGGCACTGGGGGCCTGGGGAAACTGGGAGTGTGGAAGACCCTGGCTCTGTCCTTCCTGCAGCCCATCATGGGCCGTGCATCCAGATGGGCCTGGTCTCTGGACCCTCCTGTCCTGGCACTTGAGAGAGCTGGGGGTGTGTGGCTCTGTGACATTTGGAGACCACGCTTCCCTAGGACACCCCACAGCCACTCTCTGGTCATGGGAACTGCTCTGCTGGACCTGGAGAGGACAGAAGGGTCCAGAGTGGGCTTTTGGGGGACTGGTAACCAGTGGCAAAGTCTATGAGGGAGTCCAGGGCTCTGGGTGTGAAGTCTGCTCACTTTCCCAACAGCCGGAACCAGACATGCAGCCTAGTTATGGGAGCAGGAAAGCACCTAGGCACACCCATTGGCCTGCCAGGGCCAGGTATGGGAATGCGTCTGTGAGGTGTCCCCTCCCAGCAGCCACGCTGGCTGTCCCTGTTCCCACCACAGTTGGGTGCCCAGGAGGCTTTGATGGATTACAGGGCAGCTGGGGTGGGTATGTCCACAGTACCTGAGGACCGTGGCTTCTGGGGTGCACTGGGGCCCCCTCCCTGAGCAGGGCCAGGCCAGAAGTCTCCACTGGCAGGGCTGATGGGGACATGTGGTCAAACAGAGCCCCCAGCTGGATCCACTCACCTCGGGAAATCACCTTAAAGGCCACTTGGACCTGGTCTTTCCAGCGCCCTTCAAAGACCTCCCTAACAGGACGGGTCCCTGCTGCCTGTGTTTCTGAGAGGCCAACTCTCCTCAGCACCCACATTGAGCACCTACTGCATGCAGAAGATTGGGAGTATGCATAGGGAGATGCAAAGCAGTGCATCGAGCTGCAAGTGGGTCATCTCAGAGGCAGAGGGTGTGAGACGTGAAGGGTTGTAGGGTCCAGGTGGCCAGCACACAGGTTCAGTAGCCCTTAGGCCCAGGACCCAGCACGCATGAGGTGTGCAGAAGAGGCAGGGTGGGCAGAGGGTAAGCACAGAGGAGATAAAGTTTCATAGCAAATGAGGGGTCGACCCCTAGGGGCTCTGGGCCAGGGGTGTCCTCAGGGTGGGCCATGGCTCTTGAGGGAGTCAGTGTCGCCCAGGGAAGGGCAGAGGTCACCTGGGAACTCTGAGGGCCACACCCTGCAGTCCACAGTCCAGGGCTTGTCCATGCCCTCATGCTGAGAACCTGCATGTGCTGTGGGAGGGTGCATGTGAGCAAAGCTACAGCCGTGTCAGTGTGTCTGCTTGTGTGTGCTTATGTGTGCATGAATGTGCAAGTGCATCTGTGCACACGTGAGCTGAGCACACACACACTGTCGCATGTCACGTGTGCACGTGTGTGAGTGCAATGTAAATGTGTGTGGTGCTTCAGTGTACTTGTGCACATGAGTGTGTGTGCTCAAGTGCTGTGTGTGCCTGGGAGCCCTGCTGCTCAGCTGAATTCCTAAGGCTGGGGCTGTGCATCTGTGCCCTAGTCCTGCAGCAGAAGGACCACAAGCCTACTGGGGGTTCTGACCACAGACAGGGCATTGGGGCAGGATGGGGAATGCCTACCCTTCTCCTGCCTGGGTCATTGGTATCCAGAACCAGCTACTGGGGACTGTGTGGGTAGAGACCTCTGCAGGGTCCAGGCAGCATGGGAGGACAGCTTGTTCAGGGCTGGGATACGGGGTGGGTGGGGTTGGGTCAGCTGAGACACAGGCTGTCTCCTCCCTCCCCTGCAGGTGGTTCTTTGGCCAAATCTCCCGCTCAGAGGCCGTGCACCAGCTACAGGCGGAGGGCAACCCCACTGGTGCCTTCCTGATCCGGGTCAGCGGGAAGCTGGGAGCAGACTACGTTCTCTCTGGTACAGCCTTCTTAGCCCTCCACTCGCCTGTGCCTGCTTGCCAGGGCTCCTTGGCTCTAGGCCCTCCTGGCCATACACACCCAGCTGCCCTTCGACTTCGAGGTGTGGGACATCTGGTGCTCACCCAGGCAGCTCCGAGCCTCTCCACCTGCCTCCTTTGGGGCAGAAGCCAGAGTGACTCTCACTGATGGGAGAAAGCTCTCTTGAGGTCCTTTCCTGCTGGCCTTGCCTGTGGCCGTCCACTGTTGGGAGCATTGACCCACAGGTGTCCGGCTCTGCAGGGGTGTGCGGGGAGCAGATTAGCCTCTGCTGGCTCTGGAATCTTAGTGGGGCTGGGAGTGTGGGCAGCCATCATCCAGGCAAAGTTGGGAGGTCATCGTGGGGCAGGGCCCAGCAGGGCCCAAGGAGGGTGAGTGCTGTCCAGCAGCGACCGTTAGACCCTAGGCCCTTGGAGCAGGTAGGGTGGGGAGCATGCAGGGTGGGGACGGGCTGATGGCTTCCTCTGTCCTGCCACCCAGTGCGGGACGCTCAGGTCGTGCGGCACTACAGGATCTGGCGGCGCTCTGGCCGGCTACACTTGAACGAGGCAGTGTCCTTTCCCAGTCTGCCCGAGCTCCTGGACTACCACAAGGCCCAGAGCCTGTCCCATGGCCTGCGGCTGACCGTGCCCTGCTGCAAGGTAGGCCCCTGTACCTCCATGGTGTGGCTGCTCAGGGCCAGGCAAGGTACAGTGCAGAGCACGGGTAGAGTGGGACCAGGAGATGCCCCCCTCTCCTGGTCACTCTTATAACCTGACCCACCAGAGGTCAGCTGAGCTCCTGCTGGGTCCTGGCTCTGGGAAGCCAGGGAAGAAGGGTCACCCTGGCCACTGGCCTCAGGAGAGTCACTGGTGGGGGCAGGAGAGAGACATGGGCATGGGCCACTCAGACTCCTGAGCTGCCCCAAGGTTAAGGATAGACCAAGGCTCTTCCTGAGTGCAAGCCAGTGGCAGGGCCAGTGTCCCCTCCCTTCCTGTGCCTCCTGCCTGTCCCTCCAGCACGAGTCGGAGCCCCTGCCCCACTGGGCCAACTGGGAGAGGCCAAGGGAGGAGTTCACACTCTGCCGGAAGCTGGGCGCTGGCTATTTTGGGGAGGTCTTTGAAGGGCTCTGGAAAGACCAGGTCCGAGTGGCCATTAAGGTGATTTCCCGAGGTGAGTGGATCCAGCTGGGGGCTCTGTTTACCACATGTCCCCATCAGTCCTGCCAATGGAGACTTCTGGCCTGGCCCTGCTCAGGGAGGGGGCCCCAGTGTACCAGCTGGGGGTACCTGCAGCATGCCCGAGGGGTGCCACCTGTGTCCTCACCTGAACACACTGATTACAAAACAGAAGGTTGAATTCTCAAGGTAATGGAAAGCCACTCAAATGCATGACTGGAAATCTGAAAAGGTCCACCTGAAATCTGCCACAGTACGTTTGGACCCCACCCTGAGGAATCAGGGCCTGACCCAGGAGGACCTGGGAGTGTCCAGCTCTGAGGCTCTGGCTCAGGCAGGGAGGGACGGAAGCAGATGGGGCCCCCAAGGCCTGGGGTGCTGGGGCCTGACTATGGAAGTCGGTGTTTCCTGAGCGACCGTGTGGGGGCTGGGCCTCTTGCTGGGAGCCTCTATGAGGGATGTGCCCACCAAGGCTATGCGTCCCCAGACAACCTCCTGCACCAGAACACCTTCCAGCGGGAGATCCAGGCCATGAAGCAGCTGCGGCACAGGCACATCCTGGCGCTGTACGCCGTGGCGTCCCTAGGGGACCCCGTCTACATCATCACGGAGCTCATGCCCAAGGGGAGCCTGCTGCAGCTTCTGCGGGGTGAGTGGGCAGGGTCCTGGGCCCTCTTTTCCCTGCATGAGAGTGACAGCAGGTGAGAAGTGACCCCAGCCAGACACCCAGGGAGCTCTACGACACACATCATTGTTTTCTGGTTTAAGAAACGACCCAGGAGGGGCTGGGACTGTGGCTCAGAGGTAGAGCACTTGCCTAACCCGTGCGAGGCCCTGGGTTCGATCCTCAGCACCACATAAAAATAAATAAAGATATGTGTCCACCTATAAGTAAAAAATAAATATTAAAAACAGAGAAATGACCCAAGATACAACAAATCTACCATGTGCTCCTTGTGAAAGTTTCACTAAGTACAGACAAGAAAAGCCGTGTCAACCGAGGCCATTTCACAGAACACCTGGCACAGCTGGCAGCCCTCACAGAGACCTGCTTCAGTCCCCAGCTCGTCTCTCCTCCTGGACTGTGGTCCCTCCTGCTGGTGTTTCAATGTGCACATGCACTAATGTGCCCCCCATGTACGCATGTGTGCACACCGACCATGCATTCTTACACACATGCACATGGACATGCATGGACATGCCCACACGCTTACACGCGTGCACACCCACAGCCAACGCATCATACACGTGTATGCAAGAGGACGTGCCCACACAGGGACACGCATCTTGCTTTCCCAGGTCGTTGTCAAAAAGCTCCTGTTTCCTTCAACACAAAAGCCAAGCCAAATGCTGGCCACTAAGATGGCCTAACTGGACAATGAGATGGGAGGAGACTCCCCAGGGTACGGTGCCACCCAGCCGTGTGCACCTGGGGTGGATATGTCTAAACGCCACCCAGGCCTGCAATCTTGTAGCCCACATTCTCACGCAGGAAGTGACCACTGCAGGTGGTCTCGGTGGGATCCAGTGTTCTTCAGAAACAGTCTGGAGTGTGGGGAGCCCTGCTCCTCCACCTGGAGGAGCTGCAGGCAGAGCCGGGCTGCCATGGTCTCCGCCTCTGGAAAGGCTGCCCACAGCTACACTGTCAACCAGGCCAGCTGCCCTTGGCTCCAGCTGAGGAGCAGCAGCCTGCAGAGCCTCACAGCTGGCAGGTGAGGACTGACCTTGGCCTCCTGTCGCCCCACAGACTCTGATAAGCAAGCCCTGCCCATCTCGGAGCTGGTGGACCTTGCATCGCAGGTGGCGGAGGGCATGTGCTACTTGGAGTCACAGAACTATGTTCACCGGGACCTGGCCGCCAGGAACATCCTCGTGGGGGAGAACAATATCTGCAAAGTGGGGGATTTTGGGCTGGCCAGGCTCATCAAGGTAGGGCCCTCAGTGGGCAAGGCCCAGGGTAGGGACCTCCTTTCCCATGGGAACCCAGAATGGGCAAGACGAGTTGGTTACCAATGCTGTGACCACAGCTGGCAGGGGTTCTGTCCACACAGCATGGCCTTAAATCAGAGCTTCTCACACCCGGGGTCTGAGTCCTCTGGTCTAGCAGCAGTGGCCACCAGTGGCTCAGACAGTGGTCAACACAGTGTGCTGTTGACTTGCCCACCCAGACCTCGGCTCCTACGCCTGTGTGTGCTGTGGGGAGACGGTGCAGGCAGTCCTCCATGGCCCACCCTACCCTGTCTGATTGCAGGAGGACATCTACCTCTCCCATGACCACAGCATCCCCTACAAGTGGACAGCCCCTGAGGCACTCTCCCTAGGGCATTACTCCATCAAATCTGATGTCTGGTCCTTCGGGGTCCTCCTCCATGAGATCTTCAGCAGGGGTCAGATACCTTACCCAGGTACTGGCCCCAGTGTTCCTGATTGGGCTGCTCCTGAGTGGCCAGCGGGGGTGGCGGGAGGTGCTTCCTTGATAGCCTCATCTGGAACACCACACCTGTACACTGGCTGAGCATTCAGGAATGTCCATCCCTGTGCCTGGGGCCACTTCCTGGAGTCACTGTCCAGGGGGAGGTCGTTAGAGGCAGACTATGCTGGAAAACGTCCAGGACACAGTGGTGGTCATGCTTCAGAGAAGGCTTCTGGGGAGGGGCGGCAGGCCACTGGGTGTGGCTTCCAGGTGGTGGAGGGTGGGCACTGGCCTCCTGGTTCTTCAGCTCCTCTTGTCCCACTGGCAACAGGCATGTCCAACCACGAAGCCTTCCTGAGGGTGGACGCTGGCTACCGCATGCCTTGCCCCCTGGAGTGCCCACCTCCCGTGTACGGGCTGATGTGCTCCTGCTGGAGCAGGGACCCAGAGCAGAGGCCTTGCTTCCAAGCCCTGTGGGAGAGACTCTCTGGCTTCACCAGGTACGAGAACCCACTCTGAGATGCCTTGGGGGCTGCCTGGCCAGGTCCTGGCTGTCCTGGACCTCAACTGAGGAGAAGTGTGGTCCTTTAGTTTACTGACATGATGGTGGGCACAGCAAACACAGCACGTGGGGACTTGCGGAAGCAGCAGAGCAGCTACATGACTCTGACAAGCAGCAGGCTGCAGGCCTGGCCAAATGCCCTCACTGGCCGTCTCCCCAGCCACCAGCCTCCAACGTGGTCCTTTGGCCACAGATGAACATAACCAAGACCTCTCAAGAAAAGCATCCTTTTGCCTTTGAAAGTTTTCTGTGCCATCTCCTCTAAAATCTTAGTCGTCGTCTTAAACACAGACTTCAGGGAAGTAACCATCGACATAAGAAAACTGAGATGAAGTCTAAGAAGTCTTTTCCCCAGAAAAGCAGCACAGAGCTTTATCCAGTCTGGGCAATTGGAACCTCTCATTTTTGACAAAACCACAATTTGGTTAAAAATACGGGTGGAGAAAACCCACCATATTTGTCTCTGGGTCACTGATGGTCTGAAGGGAGAGCCTGGTGCGGCCTCCCAGATGAGTGGCACTGCCCCTCTAAGGGCGTCCCCAGGCTGGTCTATAAAACCCCTGGGGGGAGTTCTACCCAGATTGCTTGGAGAAAGTGAGTGTTCATATAAGTATCCCCAAACTCAGAAACACAGTAAATAATTCTTTTTTTTGTACCAAGGATGGAACCCGGGGGTGCTTAACCACTGAACCACATCCCCCTGCCTTTCTATTTCTTTCGTTAAGTTGCTTAGGGCCTCACTAAGTCGCTGAGTGAGGCTGAGGCTGGCTTTGAAGTTGTGATCTTCCTGTCTCCACTCAGTGGTCAAGTGTCCCTCGGTTCAATCCCCAGTACCCCCCAAAAACAAAGCAACAACAAAAACCCACCGGTCACCCTATACCCAACACCTGGGTGGCTCCCCTGCAGGACACCAGCACACCAGTGACAGGGAGACGCATGCGCTGGGGCTCCCACTTGGTGTTGGGGCCTCAAGAGATATGGGGCACTTGAGTGCAAGGGGTCTGTCTGCAGGTGCAGCAGCTGTACTGAGGACGTGACGTGCTGGGAACTGGCGTCCCTCCAGTGGAGGCTGGCGGGTGTGGTTCATTTACTTCCTGGTTTCCCTGAGAATTTAGGGTTTCTGAGTTTGAAATCATGGTTTATAGTAGTTGAAACCATTAGAAATAACAAGGAAACAATCCTGTATACGACATACACAAGAGAAGTATGATGCTCTTTGATTGGCTGAGAGGTAGCGATCAGCCTGTCCTAAAGCAGAGGGACTGGTTGTCACAGGGGTATTTAAAACATAAAGCATGCATGCAAACAGACCCTCCCCTCCTGTAACCAAAGCTCACTAAGTCAGCCTCAGGGGTGACAGCACGGAGGTGCACTGGAGCTGGCTCTGTGAAAGGCCCTTTGTTATGCCTTGGTGACTGGCCAGGAGACAGGACTTTGCTTAAACACAGCTTCTTGGGCTTCACTGTTTTTTACTAGGTCTTCCATTACTGAAAAGCATCTTCTCATGATCAAAAGGGCCAAGTATGTAAACTTCTAAGTTTGTCTTTAAAAAATCTTTTGTCAATTTGATTAAATCAATTACCAAACCTTTTGGCATGATTGACAACATCTAAAACCAAAGTCTAAATCAAGTCCCTTTGATCTTGAACTTTGACCTTGAGTTTCCAGAATGCCCCCTGGACACAGCCAGAAGTGGAGGTGGTGTACACCAGCAACCCAGGAGGCTGAGACAGGAGGACTGCAAGTTCAGGGGTAGCCTCAGCAACACAGTGAGGCCCTGACTCTGAATAAAATATAAAAAAAGGGCTGGAGATGTTGCTCAGTGGTTAAGCCCCCCCACCCCCCGATTCAATTCCTGGTACCAAAAAATAAATAAATAAAAATAAAAAGGGCTGGGGATGTGGCTCAGTGGTGGAATGCTCTGGTTCAATCCCCAGTGTACAGAGGGGTGAGAAAGTCATCTCAGCTTACACAGGAGAAATTAAGTTCATCAGGCTCATTTGTGCTCCCCAACACAGCCAACCCTTCCCTGGGCTGTATTTACAGTAGTCTGTGCTGCAGTTGGTGCTGATGAGTGCTGCAGAAACCTGCTGTCATGTCAGCATGTTGTTGCCATAGAAATAACCACATTTCCTTGTCAACTGCATAACTGATGTAATCAACTCATCAGATCCTTAATCATGGCTTTCTTAAGTTCCTTCACATTCACCGACATCATAAGGAAAGCATTTGCAATCAGCTACGGTCCAAATACTTCTCCTTCAAGGTCCCACGGAGATTGACAGGTGCTCTGGTACAGGCTTCTGGCAATGTCAGGGGGACAAAGGACCCTGGAGAGAACTGAGGGCTCAAGGCTGCCCCAAGATGAACCCACAAGGATCACCAACCCAGAACAGAATCAACTGGTGACCATTTTTTTTTTTTTTTTTTTTTACGATTTTAGCATTGCTGGTCCCTTACTATAGTTTTCCTGATTTGAGGACCCCGCCTGCAGCAACTTGGGAAACACTTGTGAACAAAGGCAAAATATTTGTGCTTTTTTTCCCTGACCCTTCCAGAAGTCACAAACTATTAGCAAGCATCCCTGCTTTCAGGGCAACATAGCCATCTGTGTGCCAAGGCCCTGCTTTCCCTGGGACAGACACAAATGTGGATGCTGGCTGTTGCCAAACTTGGGCTGTGGTGTCCTTTTTCCAGCTGCAACTAGATACATGGACCTCATGGTCCTTGGGAAGAACTGGCATGGGACCTTGGAGACATGATGGCCTCAGAGTGAAAAAGGATGTTGCTTCCTGCAGGCCTAGAAACTCAGAGATGCATTAGGGAGACTGGTAAGAGGACCCCCCACCACCACCACCACACCCAGGCCACAGGGGCAGGCCCAGGGCTTGGCTTCCTAAAGCAGTAGCATCATGTCCCTGTGTTCTCTTGATACCATTATCCTGACTGCATCCTGAATACTTGTCTCCAGTATATGGCTACCACTCTCCACACCAGCATTTCCAAATTCCAAGATTATAGCTTAGAATCACTAAACATTAAATCTGCCCCTTTCCTGAAGCTCTAGAAACTGTAGCTGGATGACTTGGTAGGGACTTAAATCATGACTCATGTGTGGAACACCTTGGTGACACCCCAGTAGCAGACCAGAAAGCCTCCCAGGTGCCACCTGAAGATGCTGCAGGCCCAAGGAGTAGAATCTCTGGGCTCGACAGGCCTGTGAGCTACTCTTACCACAGCCTCTTCCTTGATCCCCGACCCCATGGGGCATGCACAGAGCCCAGCTGTGGGGAAGCCAGCACCTCCGAGAGGGGACAGACTGTGCGCTCCCACTGGATAATGCTCCCTGCTCTAACCTGTTAGATCTTTGGCTCTTCCCAAGAAGTTCCCACATGGGACTTATGCTGCTTGGAGAAAACTGAGAGGACAGTGGCAGCAGGAGGCCGCAGATCCAGGGGCATCACTCTCTGGTTTTCTCTCCCAAGGTTCTCACAGGGTGGGCGTCTTGTCCTATACTGAGTTGGAACTCAGAGCTTCGGTCCTGAGCACCTGGGATTTCAGATCACCGACACTTGGCCAGCGGTCTTGCAGATATCTCAATCCAAAAAAATGAGTTTGAAATCAAAAGCATTTCAGGTTAAGCTTTTCTGGATGATAACACTCAAGATTACTGTTTCGGGTCTTCATTCTTAAGGATTCCGTATCACATAAAACTTGAACTGTACAACTCTGTATGCTTTTCTCTCGTTAACCTGTCCACTGTTATAGTGTCTCAAGAGGTGAAACTTGGGGTGGGTTTCTACAGCTCCCTCTGAGGGCCTTGTCCAGATGCTGTGGCTAGAAAGACTTACTCCTTGGAATACCCTCCCTCTCCTGGGTCCATCTAGAGTGGGAAGGAGCCCCCACTTGCTCCAGCACTAGCCGCCTGGCCTGGGAGTCTGAATGAAGCTGCATCCACACTACAGGAGCCTGGACTCCTACGGGAAGGCAGGAGGGAGGCTCAGCTATCAGGGACCATAGGCTACTGAACTTCCATGGACTCTTGTAGTTATTTATAGCATAGCGGACAGGAGGGCCTGCTGAGTCCATCCATAGCTCTGTTCCCTACCTGTGGAGGCTCCCTTACCTCTGCTGGCCTTAAGTTACCCTGCCTAGCTCTTCTGTCCACCAACTACACTGAGGCTACCTGTGGAGCCTCTCCACCCCACCCCTCATGCCTGCAGCCCCCAGTCTCAGCCTGTCCTGAGCATTGTCAAGGTTGGGGACAATACCTCTGCAGAAAGCAACCGAGAAGGCCAGCCTCAGTCCTAACTACCCCACACCCTCCCTGGCATTAAGGGATGGCCTTGTCAAACTCTTCCCAAAGGAGTTCTTCATGGGACATCGAGTTTCTCTAGCAGAGGGGTCCCAGACACATAGCCAGGACCCCAACCTCCCACAGTGGCCACAGCAACTGCCCTGAGTTGTCCTTGTCCAGCTCCAGAACTACCTGCCATTCTGAAGCAAGGCATCCCATCTGCTTGGGCCCACTTGTATGGAACATCTCATCAGACCTGAGATGGGGCCTCACTGTGAGGTCCCTGAGAAAGGCCCCCAGGAAGGTCTGGTAAACAGGACCAGCCACTAACAGAGGGACCAGGAGAGACTAAGAAACCTCTCAGACACACCACTGGGGCTGCCCGCTCTTTGGAGTTTATTTTCTGCTTGAGCAAGGCACAGTTATGTGGGTCAGAAAAGCCCACTGAGATTTGGAAAGAAGGGGTCTCTTGCCTGGCGCCTGCCATCTCCATGTGGAAGAACCCAGCTGGTCTCCGCTTGCTGTAGCCCATCTACCCTACCCGCTGGAGTGGGCAGGATTTGACCTAGCACCTTGGAAGCCCCAATCAGGTCAGGACTGAGACCCAGTGCTGGCCTGGCTCGGCTGGTTGACTGGCTGCTGCTTCGTGGTTTCTGGAGTCAGGCCACTGGTGACCAGGCTGGTGGAGGCCTGGGTGGATTCCGAGCTGGGGGAGAGCAGGTATTGTGTCAGAAGCTGACTTTGTTTTTGCTGCCCTCCCACCCCAGGAAGGGGGACTCACTGCTCTGGAGACTCCACCACTGTGGCCATGAACGGAAGAGTGGACTTCCCGAAGAAGAAGCTGGCCCACCAGTGACCTGGGTCGGCCTTGGGGAGACCTGAGAGAAGCAGAGTGGGTGGTGAGCCTGCTCAGGACTGGACCCCTCCCCATGCTCCGCCTGGCTGTGCAGGCTGGACCTGCTCTCACCCGGGTGGTGGGGGATGGCCTCCCCAGGGTACTCGGCACTTCCGCAGGAGCTGTTGCTGGACGCGGAGCCCAGGCGGCCTGGGGAGGGGAAGACAGTCAGCAACAGGGGCCTCGCCGGCAGCACGGGGCAGTGCTGGGCTCGGTCGGCAGGGGTCGGCAAGGGGCTACTTACGCCGGTAGTAGTCGTGGGTGGCCACGAGCGAGCCGCTGGAGGGGATGGCTGCCATGCTTCGCTAGGGGCTGGTGGGGACCTGCACGGGGCGCGGCCCTGGTCACGGCTCCCACGAGCGCTCGCTCGGAGGGCCGTCCTCTACCCGCGCCCAGCGGTGCTTCCGGGCGGCTCCAGCCAGTCCCGGCCGGTGCGAGGCCGGACAAAGGCGCTTTGTGCGCCGCCCAGCTCGCCCCGGCCCAGCACCCGCCCGCCCTCCGCCCACGCGCCCGTACCTCGGAGGCGACCCCTCGCAGCCCCCGGTGCCCGGTCACCGGTGGCGGGGCCTGGGCGCTAGGCCGCGGAGCCCATCGGTAACAGAGGCCGTAGGACGCCGCTCCTCCGTCCAGTCCCGGGCGCGAGGTGCGCACGCGCGGAGCGTTACGGGGCGGGGACTCGTTTGGGCCCCGCCTCCCAAGGCCCCGCCCTGTTAACCCCTTCCCGCCCGCTGCGAGGCCCGATCAGCCCCACCCCGTTAGGCTCCACCCCGAGACCCCACCCAGCCTGTTTGGCTCCGCCCCGGGCTCGCCTGCTTTAGCTGGACTCCAGTCTGCCTGAGGCCGTCGGGGGCGCGTCCAGGCCTGGCCTGGGACTGGAGTGGTTAAAGGACAGGCCCTGCCCCAGTACTAGGACTGGTCTCTGCCCCCACTCTCGCCAGGGAAAGAGAGGGCATTTGCCCATGCATGTCCCTGATGCTGCATCTCTCTCCCCAGCTGTGCCCACTGCGTGGTGCCCAAAGGTGCTTCAAGTCCTCCAGCTCGACCCTTCTGGGGCCGCCTGTGTGAAGCTGGGGAGCCTGCTGTGTCCCTCACTGCTTTAGAGCCTGCGGCCCAACCCGTTCCCCAGACCCCGTCTGCATCCAGCCGCCCATGGGGCCGGGTGGCAGTAGGGCAGTGGGGCAGTGGGGCAGCAGGGTAGGAAGTGGAGGGCACGGAGGGGAGGTCATTCCTGTGCCTGAGGCCTTCATGCTTGGGGAGGACCAAGAGCTAGTCGGAGTCCCTGGGGAACACAGGTAGGCTCTGACTGGGACCCTGTACCTTTCTCTTTGTTTCTTGCTCCAATTTGTTTGGACCTGCTGTGTGCCTCCCAGTGGACAGAGCAGGGGTCAGGTTGAGCTGAGGTCTGAGGAAGGAGGGAGGGTAGCTGACCCTTTTCAGCAGAGTGAGAAGCTCAGGCAGACACCCTGAGGCATGGTGCTGGCTGGTGGTGAGGAAAGCCAGGTGGCCAGGGCCTGGAGTAGGATGGGAGAGGTGGGTGGGGCTACCGAGTGCCATTGATAGGGCAGATGGTCCTCTAGGTGATACTGTGAGGGCAGGATTTTTTGCAGCTGCTTGTGTGTGCAGGCTCTGACAGACCTGTAGCTCCAACTTGGCCTTCCTGGACTCCTGTGGTCTGGCAGAGTGGTCCTGGAGCATGGGGCATTTTCTGTGGCTTCAGGGTCCAAGGACGCCTTGAGAGGCTGCCTTGAGAGGCCTGTCTTGAGAGGCCTGTCTGGGACTTGACAACACAAACCCTCAGAGAAATCCTTATTTTGTTGGCATACAGTAGGTGCTCAAACACAAATGCCTAATGCTAATGTCCATATTATCTATGCCCAGCCTGCTCCTTAACAGCATAGCAGGCTCCTGGAGATGGAAGGAGAAACAGCATGTCTCCATACCAAGCTAGAGACAGGTGTGTCCCCCAAGCCTCAGAGGTGGCCCCTTGGCAGCCCTGGGCTCTTTTCTGTGATGAGAGGTAGGGGCTCCAGCAAAGGTGAGCTGGAAGACTCTTTCTTGCCCATCTTCTCTCCAACATCCTCTAGCTGTGAGGGCCCGAGCCCACACAGGAGGCCAGAGGAAGGACATTCTCAGTGCTACTGAGGAGCAGATGGGGAACCCCAGGGCAGGCTAGGCCAGGCCTGAACCGCACATGGGAAGTCACTGAGGGTGTAGCCTTTGCACCCCCTAGCTCTGTACCCAACAGAAGGACCTGGCTCCAACCATCCCATGCCCACAGCCCAATGTTCCTTCTGCCACAGGGCCTTGCACCTTCTGGTCTTGCCACCTGGAGCACCACTGCCCTCCAGTTTCTGAGTGCAAAGAGCAGGGAGTGTGCTCACCCATTTAGTGAACTTTGACTAGAGTGGGTCCTGCTCACATTGATCTTGCAATTCTGGCTGCCCAGACCCTTCCTCAGCCACTTCAGCCTACGTGACACTGGCCCTCTCAGGGTGCAGATGTGTGCCAGGTGTGGACGCTGGGAAGAACTCCTGAACCCATCCTCTGGGTGGGGGTCAAGGCCAGCTGTGCCCCTGGGGTTGGCCTGTAGCAGGCCAGGTCTGGGACTCTGTAGAGGTGCCGAGGCCACCTCCTGTCAAAGTCTCTTCCTGTGGAGTATTCTATTCGGGCCAGAGACTGAGATGAAGTTTGGGGTGCAAAGGGCTGCTGACCATAGCTTTTACCTGATGGCCAGATGTGCCCACTCATGGGGAAGTTGTTGAGTGGAGGAGAAGACCATGAGCCACTGCTGACCATGCCCAGCATCAGCAATGAAGACGGAGTGGAGGGTTTCTTCTTCCCTCCCTGATTTCCCCCTCCTGCCCCCTGTTTGCCTCACTGGGTTGCCCCCTCCTGCTCAAGGAGCCCCCGGTGCTAGGACTACAGGCACTCACCTGGGTTCAGGACACTCTTCAAAATGGAGGAGTACACGCCACCCAGAAGGTGGAGGCTCTGAGACCCTGTCCAGAGCAAGCCAGAGATGCTGGATGGTGACCCTGGTGCTTAGGGTAGAGAGGGTAGAGAAGGGTCCTGGGTCCTCTGTCCCCGTCCAGCCCACCCCAGCCTCCACAGAGACTACATGGCAGGAGGGCAGGGTGGCGCTCACCCCTTTCTCATCGCTTCCGAGGAGCCCAGAGGAGGCTGTTCCAGCTCACTATTCTGCTAAGGGGCTGCCAGCCTGTCCCAGGGAGGGGCTCACACTGGGAGAGCCTAGGTGCCCACAGGCCCCAGGCTGGACCTGTTCTGCCTGTTGGGCAGTGTGACTTTGCCAGCAGCTGGCGCTCTGAGCTTAGCTTCTTCGGTGACTGTTTTCATGGTCAGAGGGGACCCACACAGGTGGGAAGGTTGAGCTTCGGAAAGGTCAGTGTGTCTCCACTGCTGGGCATGTGGGGTGTTGTCGGGTATTCAAGGTCTGCAGGGCTGGCACCGGGTGGGCTGGTGCTGGGTCAGACGCAGGAGCAAGGAATGGACATGTGCCTGAGCCTCCACTACGAGGAAATGGGGACAGAACTACATGGGAC